AGTTCCGCAGAGCCTGTAAGACGGAGCTCTTCCGCCAGGCGTTCGAATAGGAGCCACCACTGCCATGGTACCACCAACGCCATGGCACCATCAACGCACTAGAATCTGGGTACAGGGTAATCTGGAGTTTGAGCACTTGAATGAGATTTCAAGAGATAGCCATCTTGGTTTTTATGCGAGGAGTATTGAATATATTTTTCTATGATTATAACTGGTTTTAAAAATCTTAATTGTATGTATTGTTTTATGTTATGTTATGACTTGGTAATATGACTTGTAAGCCGCCCTGAGCCTACGGGGAGGGCGGGATAGAAATATAAATAATAAAATAAATAAATAAATAAATTCCACACTTTAATGACAGTCTGGGCCTGGCTGGGGCGATGGCACGCGTGCCCACTGAGAGGGCTCTGACTGCTGCCTCTGTGATGGGATTCTTTTTGAGGTTAGTCAGCAGAGTATTAAGAGACGGAGTCCATGGTGTGTATTTAAAATATAAAAGTTTACTATAAACCTAACATGGGAAAAGGGTACACAGGATAGAAAATAATAAAGAGCTTAATTTGCCTACATCCTTACATCTAAAGAGCCGGAATGGCGTCTCCTTCTCTAGTCAGAACAAAGAAGACAGAGATGGGAAGAGAAGCCATAAAATGGTAATACACCTTGACACTTTAGTCCCAATCAAATCCCTAGATCAGGGAGAAAATTCCCGGGCTTCCTATTGTCTAAACAGATTGGTTACAAACAAACATGTGACTTAACAAACATCATTAACCCTGAAAATACTGAAGTGTTTTTAACTTGTAACACCCAACACTCTGGCACGCGTGCCATGGGTTCGCCACCACTGGCCTAGAGCATCCTGGACAAGCGTCTGTCCAGCAGCCAATTCCACTGTTGCACAACTCTGACTGTAAAAAAGTTTCTCCTAATATCCGGCTGATACCTTCCCGCCCTTAAATTAAACCCATTATTTTGAGTCCTCTCCTCTGCTGCCAACAGGAACAGCTCCCCGCCCTCCTCTCAGTGACAACCCTTCAGATACATCAAGAGAGCCATCCTGTCCCCCCTCAGCCTCCTCTTCTCCAGGCTAAACATTCCCAAGTCCCTCAGCCTTTCCTCACAGGGCTTGGTTGGCTGCAACCTGATGGCACTTCCCACCACCAAGCAAATGGCATGGCCAATTCAAGGCCCTTTGTCACCCCGAGAGAGGCAAACCCTTCAGGGCCCACGCTGCCACCGGCTAGGCCCAAGCCAAGGCCCCATGGCAAAGCTGCTGACAGCTAGAAATGGACGCAGCCCCTGCAGTGGATCGACACCTTTCTCATTATACCTCCCCCAGCCATTGCTCAGGTGGCTGGGCCCGGCAACTGGTCCTGGCTATACCGCCGCGTCTTGTAGCAGCCTGTTCTGCAACATCACTGTGTGTGGTATGCAGAAGGGCTAGGTACCTGTCTGAAGCAGGCCTTGTGGCAGCCTGCGATCTCTGGAATTCAACCGAGCAAACCAGTGGATCCGGCTGAGGCGTGAGAACTAGACAAACCAGCACCCCAAATGCTAATTGGGGGATAACCCAAGGGCGATGGAAGACTGATGTAAGGCAGGCAAGGGAGGAGAAAGCAAAGAAGGTGGAGAGCGAAGGCAAGCCAGGGTGCCAGCTGAGAGGCGGGTCGGCAGAGATCCTGGACCTTCTCAGCCAGCAGACAGCAGCCACCAAACTAGACTGAAGCAATGGCTGAGCTCAGGTCTTTCAGCAGAAGTGTTCCTGGCAAGAGGAGGTTTGTACAGGGCCTACAAGGGGCCGTGAACAGGGTCTAGCGCTAGCTCCTCTGGCCTGCAGCAGTTCATTGTCCTTCCATTGGTGCCATCACAGCGGTGATGCAGGAACCAACGTGTGCTACAGAGCCCCGCGTGGTGCAGAGGCTGGAGTTTTGGACTCAGATCGTCTGAGAGACCCAGGTTCAAATCCCTACTCCGCCGTGGAAGCTTGCTGGGTGACCTTGGGCCAGTCACACGCTCTCAGCCTAACCTGCCTCACAGTGTTGTCGGGAGGATAAAACGGAGGGGAGGGAAACAACGTGAGCTGCTTTCCGTCCCCCACTGGAGAGAAAGGCAGAGCAGAAATGAAGTGAATGAACAGGCCTGGCCAGGGCGTCTTTTGTTAAAAAAAGCCCAGCAGGAACCCATTAGCATAATAGGCCACACCCAACAGCAGAAACTCATTAGCATATTAGATCACACCCCTGACAGCACAGCTCAATAGCATATTAGGCCACACCCCCATGTTACCAGAAGTGCGGTTATCCAGCCACACCCACCTTTTGCTTCTTATTCTGTTTACTTTGTTTATTGTCAAAACCCAGGGCCTTTTTTTGTAGCAAGAACTCCTTTGCATGTTAGGCCACACACCCCTAATGTAGCCAATCCTAATGAGTTCCTGCTGTTGGGTGTGGCCTATTATGCTAATGAGTTCCTGCTGGGCGTGGCCAACTCGGGAGCCAGCTGGAACTCCATTCCTGTGCGTTCCTGCCCCAAAAGAGCCCTGGGCCTGCCCAGCATTATTGTTTGCTGGTGTAGTATATAGAACCTGCCTCCTTAAGAGACAAGGCTTAGAGGCTCTAAGTGGAACTCCCTCTCTTCACAGGAATGGAGACAGGTCAAGATGGGCAGCTGTGCTAGTCTGTCTGTAGCGGTAGAAAAGAGCAAGAGTCCAGGAGCACCTTAAAGACTTGGACCGATTTCCCACAACCAGCTGCGCCGCCCTCGCTCTTCGCTTCCCCCGATTGTATTCGTCAATTTCCCACTACTTGCTGCGCGGCCGCATTTTGACCCGCAGCATTCCCCGATTTTCCGCGCGTCTTCTCGATCTCAAAAAACAAGGATCTGGAAGACAGGGGGGAAATTGGGGGGATGCTGCGGGTCAAAATGCGGCCGTGCAGCACGTAGTGGGAAACTGACTAATACAATTAGGGGAAAGGGAAGAGGGAGGGCGGCGCAGCTGCTTGTGGGGAATCGGTCTAATAAAATTTCTGGCAGGGGATGAGCTTTCATGAGTCACTGTTCACTTCTTCAGATATCTTCTTATGGGCACTGAGCCAGAAGCAGACTGGTAGCCGGTGGAAATCTTGCCTATAAAGACTGGCATGCTGGTGAGATACGGTACCTAGAGCTCACGCTTGCAAGCATTCCCCCCCCCCCCCCATTTTGATATGGACCAATTGAACCTTCTGGACAGCTTTCAAGGGCAGCCCTGATGTGGAGCACATTTGCAGTAGTCCAACCTGGATGGACTCAGGATATGGACAATTGGGGCCAGATCTACTGATGAATTGCTTCCTGTGACTTCCTGACCTGGTCTTCCACTCACCTGAAAGTGCCGCTAATTTTTCATTGGTTACATTTATACCCCACATTTTTTCCCCTTCAGACCCAAGGAAGAATATGTATAATTCCCAGGAGGCACTGCAGATGTAGGCAGATTGACTTAAACCAGGCTGCTTAGCTTCAGCAAGGCTGATGTATCATGTGCCTTTGGACCATTCCCTGGGCTACAAACATTAACAAATGAAATGGAAGCAGAGATGCATTTGTTTACCTGGTTCATCTGTTTCTAGTTTCTCTGTGCCAAAAGGCATCTTTGTGTCTAGATCAGCAGCCAGATCGCTTGAAGTCATCTTGGAGATGGGAAATTCTTGTACCACAGAGATCTGCAGGACATCAAAATGGACTCATCTGTCAGAATGATCTCCAGCAAGACATGTTGCATGTTCCCATCCCATATAAATAGGCTTGTCAGCTCTGGGTTGGGAAATACCTGGAGATTTTGGGGGATGGAGCCTGGGGAGGGCGGGGCTGAGGGAAGGAAGGGGCTTCAATGGGATATAATGTTATAGAGTCCACCTTCCAAAGTAGCCATTTTCTCCAGGGAAACTGATTTTGGCTGTCTGGAGATCAATTGTAATAGTGGATAGGCAACCCTATATAAGAGCTGCGGTGGCTCAAGTGGTTAAGACGCTGAACTGAAGGCTGTGGAAGGTTGGTAGTTCAGCAGTTCGAGACCCGAGTGTGCCGCATGACGGAGTGAGCTCCCATCTCTCGTTCCAGCTCCTGCCAACCTAGCAGTTCGAAAGCAAGAAATTGCAAGTAGATAAATAGGTACCACTTCGGTGGGAAGGTAACAGCGTTCCGTGCACCTTGGTGTTTAGTCATGCCGGCCACATGACCTCGGAAACGTCTTCGGACAGCGCTGGCTCTTCGGCTTTGAAACGGAGATGAGCACCGCAACCCTAGAGTCAGATTCGACTGGCTTTCGAGCAAGGGAACCTTTACTTTTTAACCCTATATAAACACTATAATGGGGCCTAGTGTGATAACAAAACCTGCTGAGGAAATCCAAGCATATCCCTGCGAACACGATAGCATGGCCCACCAGGGGCTATTTTAGGAAAATGGCATGAAGAAAAGGCTGAAACCCCTTAAGAACTTAATAACATAAGAGAAGCCCAGGTTGGATCAGGCCAAGAGCCCATCCCGTCCAACACTCTGCGGCACACAGTGGCCAAACCCCAGGGGCCATCAGGAGCTCCACCAGTGGGCACCAGAACTCCAGAAGCCCTCCCACTGTTGCCCCCCAACCAAGAATACAGAGCATCACTGCCCAGACAGAGTGTTCCATCTATCCCTTGTCGCTAATAGCCACTGATGGACCTCTGCTCCATATGTTTATCCAATCCCCTCTTGAAGTTGTCTATGCTTGTAGCTGCCATCACTTCCTGTGGCAGTGAATTCCATGTGTAAATTACAAGCACGCCATGTACTGAATGTACGAGTTTTCCCACACTCTCATTTTCCTCGCTTGTAAGTTCCTGTTTCTTTGGAGGGTTTTTTCCCCTGTTCTGCCCATGATTTGCTCTCTCTAGTGGTCGATTCAATATCACACCGGTTTATTTCCAGCATAAGAACCTGCAGTTTAAATCTCTAGGGAGATACGCTGGACATAAACCTGTCTGATAGCGAACTGACCACCAGGGGGAGCAAAACACATGCAGAACAGACAGGACTTGACAAGCCAGGGAACGGAGAATGCAGAAAAGCCCTCAATGTGCATTGCCGCTGCAAGAAATAACATGAGCTACTAGCAACCTAACTTACGGGGCTGCTAGGAGGGACAAACGCAGGACAGCATTCTAAAAGTGGCATAAAGGTGGGAAAAATAGCAAATCTACATGGAGGAAGGGGACAGCGCAGAAGAAGCCTAACAAAATATACATTTTTCTTACCAAAGATGCTGCTATGTCCTCTTCGGCTTTGCTAACGAGCTTCTCTGACTCTTTGCTCTCCTGGAGAAGCCTCACTACTTGGGGCTGGCTGGAGGAGCAAGTCTTCTGAAGAGTAGGGCTTCCTCGCAGCTCTCGGCTGGGACTCTCAGCCTCCTGTTTCATGGGGAGTTGTCGCCATATAGCCCCCTTCTGGTTCTCCCTTCCTCTTCCATAATCCGATAGGTCCAGGGGTGCTTCGGTGGTGAGATACTCCCTCATGGCCTCTGCCTTTTCTGTTTGCTCCAGGTCTTCGCTGTGAGTCAGGATACGTTTCTCTTTGGCCCCATCGGCAGGATCTTCCCAAGACAGCTTTTCCTTTTTGCATGGCTTGTGTGCTGCCACGGATGGGGAGGGGGATCTGTCTTGGGAAGGGCCGAAGCTGACCTCCATTCTGGCCTTCAGCTCTTGTTGTTGTGCCAGGAGATACCGGAGCTTCTCTTGGTGATTCAGGAACGGGAGCCTGCTCTCCAGATGATGGTCCTTCATGTACACCACGGCGCCTGGGAGATCCAAGATGGAGGCCTGGTCTTCCCACTCATCCTGCGGCCGTGTTTTGCCTCCCACTTCCCTGGCCACGAACAAGTGGTGGGGGAAAGGGCTGTCCCGGATTCCGGAGTTTTTCCGAAGGCCGAGATGGTGGAGGGCGAAGTGTTGGTTGAGGAGGCAGAGTTGCTCCTTCCTCGCGGCAAGCTTCAGGGATTCATAGGATGACATAAGTTCCCGGGAGTCTATTTTGTTTGCTCTTGAATAACTGAAACAAAGATTTGCTCACTTATTAAAAACACGTAGACAAGTCGCTTTCTGAGGGCTTGAGGAGGTTTGTATATGCTGCCTCGGCCAACCAAATATCATTTTCCTATAGCTCAAGGTGAGAGCCAGCTTGGTGTAGTGGTTAGGAGTGTGGGCTCTAACCTGGGAGAACAGGGTTTGATTCCCCACTCCTCCACACGCAGCTGCTGGTGTCACCTTGGGTCAGTCACTTCTTTCAGAGCTGTTCTCTCATGAGCAGTTTGTGAAAGAGCTCTCTCAGCCCCAGCTACCTCACAGGGTATCTGTTGTGGGGAGGGGAAGGGAAAGGAGATTGAAAGCTGCTCTCCTTTGGGTAGTGAAAGGTGGGGTATAAATCCAATCCCCTCCCGCTCCCCTCCTCCTCCTTCTTCCACTTGGGGTGTCAGCTTTCCCTCTGCAGTGAGTGTTTTTTGGAGGAGGGGTGTTAAATAGTGGTTTCTAAGCATGGAGGACTGGACTACGACATGCACACCAAAGACACCAACTGGCCGGCAAGGGCCAATGATATACACCCACCCCAGACACACCCCTAGTCTCATTGGAGGGTTTAATTCTCCCGCCAAAGTTCCTATAGGTGGACTAAAGGTGGACTAAAGGATCCTTGGCCCCTATTGTTTGTGGAGCCAAGCTAGGGACTATGCACGCAGACCCCTAGTGGCGGTCCGCGGACACAGCATGGGGGAAGGGAATCTGCCTGAAGAAAGCCCTGAGGTGGTCAAGCTATTGCCTGAGAGCAGGGGCTGTGGCTCAATGGTAGAGCATCTGGTTGGTATGAAGAAGGTCCCAGGTTCAGTCTTCAGCATCTCCAGTGAAAAGAAACAGGCTGTAAAAGATCACCTGAGGCTCTGGAGACTTGCTAGCAGTCAGAATAAACAATACTGATCACAGTCAGAGGTCTTGCGCATCATCTACTACCTGGTCATTTTACCTGGAGCTGCCGGGGAACCTGGGACCTTCTGCATGCCAAGAAGATGTTCTGCCACTGAACCACACAGTCCCTCCCCCAACTCTAAGAACATAAGAAGAGCCCTGCTGGATCAGACCAGTGGTCCATCTAGTCCAGCAATCCTGTCTCACACAGTGGCCAACCGGCTCCTCTGGAGGGAAAACAACAGGGCAGAGAGGCCGAGGCCTTCACAAGAGCCTAAGAAGAGTCCTGCTGGGTCAGACCAGTGGTCCATCTAGTCCAGCATCCCGTCTCACACAGTGGCCAAGCAGTTCCTCTGGAGGGACAACAACAGGGCAGAGAGGCCAAGGCCTTCCCCTGATGTTGCCTCTTGGCACTGGGACTGAGAGGTTTGGTGTCAAATTTCAAAGTCAAATACCTTTTATTGGCATACAATATTAGAAGCAATTCCCAATATTAATACAATCCAATAGACATTAGAAAATAGATAGTCGCGTGGTAAACCATTCCAAGGATATATCAGGCCTATAACTTAACTCAAGTTGTCACAAGATTGATTTGGCCATACAGAAATGTCTGAGTCGTAAAGTAAATTTAAATTCTAAACTTTAAAACTGAGTTTTCAAATTTATAAATTAAGACTCATTAATGTGATCTGAATGAGGATGTTCCCCTCAGTCACCATGGCTAGTAGCCATTGATAGACTTGTCCTCCAGGAATCTGTTGAATCCCCATTTAAAGCTGTTTATTCCTGTGGCCATCACTGCACCCTCTGGCAGCGAGTTCCACTTCTTAATCGCTCACGCTGTGTAAAGAAGTATTCCCTTTTGTCTGTCCTGAACCTACTGCCCATCAGCTTCATTGGATCCCCTCGTTCTAGTATTTTGGGGAAAGGAAGAAAAATTTAAATTGAAATTCCCAGACTCTTCAGCCTTTCCTCGTAGGCAGGGTGCTCATACCCCCTAATCATCTTGGTTGCCCTCCCCTGTAGTCTGCAATGTCCTTTTTGAGATATGGTGACCAGAACGGTACACAGTATTCCAAATGAAGCCACAGTACAGATCTATACAGGGGCATTACAATATTGGCCGTGTTATTTTCAATCCCTTTCCTAATGATCCCTAACAGGGGTCATTTCGTAGAAAAAGACGTGCAGGAGCTCATTAGCATCACTCATTAGCATCACTTATTTGCATACGCCACGCCCCCTGACATCACCGGAACTGTGTCAGACGGCAACACCCACCGCTCAGGCTCCACTGGACTGTTTTGGATTGCTAGCTATTGGGGGGGGGGGGAAGGAATGTGCAGATCTGCCCTTGCAGAGGAGGGAGAGTTTGTACCTGAATAAAACTTGGTCTTAAAGGTGCCACTGGACTGTTTTGAACCGGGGGGCCGGGGGGAGCTCTGCAACATACCTGGCTGCTTCTTGCTCTGACTGAGGGCTGCTGGGAGCAGGGGTGGGGCTTGTTGCATGTGCCTGCCCCCTGGGCTCTTTACTGCCGGAGCTCCACTCCTGTGCGCTCCTGCAGGAAATGACCCCTGATCCCTAACATAAAGTTTGCCTTTTTCACTGCTGCAGCACACTGGACACCTTCATTGAGCTACCCACTATGACCTTTAGATCTTTCCCCCTATCAGTCTCAACAAGTTCAGACCCCATTAGCCTATACTTGAAGTTGGGAACTCTACTCCATACTCTTCTGGTATCCGTTCTTACTTACACTTCAAAGGTGGGACTTGGAGCCAGCTGAGGGGAGGGCGGAGTTTTGCTCGCAGGGGGCGGGCTCGCATTTCCTGCACAGTCTCTATCCTGAGAGCTGGACCTGGAGCCGGGACTCAATAAGGCAACTGTTCCATGCAGCTGGTTTGCTATCCTCTGAGAAGCCTCGAGAAGAGAAAAGAGGTGGGGGAAAGAGGAGTATGTTAATTTTATTATGATACGTTTGCAGAGTCTGGAGGATCTGATATAAGAAAGCAGCTCAAGGAAGTGGCAAAACCATGCTGAAGATCTCTGGGAGGCTGGGTTGCCAATGGTAGGTTGGGAAATTCCTGGAGGTCTGGGGGTGGAGCCTGGGGAGGGTGGGCATGGGAGGGACCTCAGCACAGTGTAATGCCACAGAGTCCCCCCTCTGGAGCAGAGCTTTTCTCCAGGGGAACTGACCTTTGTAGTCAAGAGATCAGTTGTAATTCTGGAGGATCACCAGGCCCCACCTGGAGGCTGGCAACCTTCTTGTGTGACACCAGATTGTGGGTTCCATCCAGAGTAAAGGTCTTTGGCTTTGCTCTAAGCAATTTAAACCCATTCCTGACCATGCACCCATTTGCAGGAGAGTAATACGGGACCACAGAAATCCTGCCTGGCCCTCCCCTGCAAGCACGGCTTCACACCATTCCGGGTCTCTGCTTTGAAGGCTTAAGGACTAGAAACTTACTATTTTTTTAAAAAATCAAATATTAATGCAATGAGTCCGAAGAACACTGAACTCTCCCCCAGCGCCAGCTGACCATTGCATTAATAGGCACAACCAGGGCTCTTTTTGTAGAAAAAGCCCAGGAGGAACTCATTAGCATAAACATCAGAAACTCATTAACATATTAGGCCACACCCCCAATGACACCACTCATTAGCATATTAGGCCACACCCCCATGTTGCCAAAAGTGTAGTCATCCAGCCACACCCACCTTTTGCTTCTTTTTCTGTTTACCCTGTTTGTTGTCAAAACCCAGGGCTTTTTTTGTAGCAGGAACTCCTTTGCATGTTAGGCCACACACCCCTAACGTAGCCAATCCTAATGAGTTTCTGCTGTTGGGTGTGGCCTATTATGCTAATGAGTTCCTGCTGGGCGTGGCCAACTCTGGAGCCAGCCGGAACTCCATTCCTGTGCGTTCCTGCCCAAAAATAGCCCTGGGCACAACACCGTCTGTAATCGGCACAGTATTTTACAGGACTTTTAACTGGTGTTTGCCCTCAAATTGTCCCGTCAGATAGGGGACAAATGACTTGTACCCATTTCAAAGCAACCTCTGAGTGGGGACATTTTGCAGTGGAAACGGGGGCGAGTGGGAGTGCTTAACTCTTTCTCTGCTGTACGGAAAGTGTGTCCATAACAGGTTCACGTGTGTATATGTCTCCTTCTAATTCTGTTCTGTTGATCCATTGCTCAGGATCAGGAAAGCTTTCAGTAGAAGGCCCAGAACTAAACTTGAGGGGGAAAGATCAGTGAGGACAGGTTAGTCCTGGATACTCTTACCATCTCTGGAACATATTCTCCATGGAAAATGGTGTTTGGAGACATCCTGATACCTGGAGATCTTCTCTGTCTTGGAAAGTGATCTGCAAGATGGACAACAGTTTTAAGCTCAGAATATTCCAGGGTTTCAGGTTTTATGCTTCAAGGACACTTCCAGAGGGGGTGTGTGTGTATTTTAATGCCAGGAATTCAGTACACACGGACACATGATGTTGCGCTCAGTGCACTGGTATGTCAAGGTCAGTTTTGTCTGACTGGCAGTGGCTCTGCAAGGTTTCAGGTGGAAGTCTTTGACCTCACCTGCTACCTGATCCTTTTAACTGGAGTTGGGAAGGATCAAACCTGGGATATTCTGCATGCAAATCAGAGCTGCTCTACCACTGAGCTTCAGCCCCATTTGACATTTGCAAGTTACACGGGGATGGACCAGACTGGTGTAGTGATGCAGTCCACAAGAACCCATGAAGCTGAATCAGACTATTGGTCCATCAAAGTCAGTATTGTCTACTGCTGTAGGTGGAGACCTGTTAGGCTAGTCACCTCCCCAATGTATGTGTGTGGCCCTAGGTAAGGATTGATTGTATTTGAATATGTGAACCACTCAGAGCCCTTAGGGGGTGAGCGGTATACAAATTGAAGGATAAATAAATAAATAAAAATAGGCCTTTGTAGCACCAGGCCTTCAGAAGTACGTTGGCCTGTATCCAGTCAACAAAAGCCCAGATGCAATTTCATTTTAATTAGTATTTGTGTTTGTTTTTAATTGCTGCTTCACTGCTTCGCGTGCCAGTCCTTTCGGCTGAAGAGATGGCTGAAAAGAGAATAAATAAATGCCATTTAGCAAGCAAAGTTCATTGCTGCTGATAGATGAATCCTTTGCAAAAGCCGTCTGCCTGTTTTCCTGCAACAAATGGAAGTAATGTGGAACAGGAAGAAATAGGGATGCACAATTCTCTGGTTTATTAGGCTAGTAGTGATGTGTGGGCCCTGGCCTCTATGGCCCAGGCTAGCCTGACCTTGCCACATCTTGGAAGTGAAGCAGGGTCAGCCCTAGTCAGTGTTTGGACCGGAGACCATCAAGGAAGCCCAGGGTTGCTATGCAGAGGCAGGTGATGGCAAAACACCTTTGAACAACTCTTGCTCAGAAAACCCTACAGAGGTTACCGTAAGTTGGCTACGACTTGGCAGCACTTTCCACCACCGATGAGAAGTGCGTCTAGTATGAGTGAGTAAGCTTTCCTGTTTCCTTACTCTGGGTCAAATTTCATGTGTTCAGATCCCCAGCTCTGGGCAGGTGGGGAGAGATCGTGACAAGGGCAAAGGGAGAATTTAATTCTTCCACCCCCAATGCCATTGGCTTGATCGGAAATGCCCCCTCCTCTGGTGGGGCTGATTGGGAAAAAGACCGGTAGCAATACTGTGCCTGTCTTTTTTTTTTCACCTGGAAGCTTAAGGTGGGGTTTAAGTGAGGGCTCTATTTGTAGCAGGTACTCATTTGCATATTAAGCGACACACCCCTAATGTAGCCAATCCTCCAAGAGCTTACAGAGCTCTTCTTACAGGAGCTACTGTAAGCTCTTGGAGGATTGGCTACATTAGGGGTGTGTCGCTTAATATGCAAATGAGTACCTGCTACAAAAAGAGCCCCATCATCTGCTGCCTGGTCATTTTAACCGGAGATGCCGGGGATTGAACTGGGGACCTTCTGCATGCCAAGCAGAGGCTCTATCACTGAGCCACGGCCCCTCCCAATCCAAAATAGGCCTTTGTAGCACCAGGCCTTCAGAAGTACGTTGGCCTGTATCCAATCAACAAAAGCCCAGACGCAATTTCATTTTAATTAGTATTTGTGTTTGCTTTTAATTGCTGCTTCACTGCTTTGTGTGCCAGTCCTGAAAAGAGAATAAATAAATGCCATTTAGCAAGCAAAGTTCATTGCTGCTGATAGATGAATCCTTTGCAAAAGCCGTCTGCCTCTTTTCCTGCAACAAATGGAAGTAATGTGGAACAGGAAGAAATAGGGATGCACAATTCTCTGGTTTATTAGGCTAGTCGTGATGTGTGGACCCTGGCCTCTATGGCCCAGGCTAGCCTGACCTTGTCACATCTTGGAAGTGAAGCAGGGTCAGCCCTAGTCAGTGTTTGGACCAGAGACCATCAAGGAAGCCCAGGGCTGCTATGCGGAGGCAGGTGATGGCAAAACACCTTTGAACAACTCTTGCTCAGAAAACCCTACAGAGGTTACCGTAAGTTGGCTACGACTTGGCAGCACTTTCCACCACCGATGAGAAGTGCGTCTAGTATGAGTGAGTAAGCTTTCCTGTTTCCTTACTCTGGGTCAAATTTCATGTGTTCAGATCCCCAGCTCTGGGCAGGTGGGGAGAGATCGTGACAAGGGCAAAGGGAGAATTTAATTCTTCCACCCCCAATGCCATTGGCTTGATCGGAAATGCCCCCTCCTCTGGTGGGGCTGATTGGGAAAAAGACCGGTAGCAATACTGTGCCTGTCTTTTTTTTTTCACCTGGAAGCTTAAGGTGGGGTTTAAGTGAGGGCTCTATTTGTAGCAGGTACTCATTTGCATATTAAGCGACACACCCCTAATGTAGCCAATCCTCCAAGAGCTTACAGTAGCTCCTGTAAGAAGAGCTCTGTAAGCTCTTGGAGGATTGGCTACATTAGGGGGTGTGGCCTAATATGCAAAGGAGTTCCTGCTACAAAAAGAGCCCTCACACACATGAGCACATGAAGCTGCCTTATACTGAAACAGACCATCTGTCCATCAAGGTCGGTATTGTCTACTCAGACTGGCAGCGGCTCTCCAGGGTCTCAGGCTGAAGTCTTACACATCACCCACTCCCTGGCCCTTTTAGCTGGAGATGCCAGGGATTGAACCTGGGACCTACAGTATGCAAAACAAAGGCTCTTCCAGTGAGCCAGTTGGCTTCTAATCAAAGAAACAGAGGAAAAGGCAATTTCCCATTCCCCTGTGCTATGGCCCTGATCCATCCCTCCTTCTGCAGCTGCTTGCATGCAGTTCATGTAACATCTGGGGATCCAAGCAGAGCTTCTCCATCGCATCCCATGCGGTTTTGTCCCCTTGGTATAAGGATAAAGGAAGTCACTTTAAAAACGGGGAGCACAAATCTCTCGTTCTTGATTTGTGTGTCCCACCAAGACACCAAGCCTCCTTTTGAAGGGATTAGGGTTGCCAGCTCTGGGTTGGAAATACCTGGAGACTTTGGGGATGGATCCGGGAGAGGGTGGGGTTTGGGGAGGGGCCTCAGCATGGAGTCCACCCTCCACTCCGAAGCAGCTGTTTTCTCCTGGGGAGCTGATCTCTGTCAGCTGGAGATCAGTTGTAAAAGCGGGAGATCCCCAGGCCCCACCTGGAGGCTGGCAACCCTAGAAGGGATGCATTTCTCCACGGAACCGCAGCTGAGAAATTCCCTTACCTGCAGTTTGGCACAAGCCATCCACTATGTTCTTATGAGATCCCCAGGCCCCACCTGGAGGCTGGCAACCCTAGAAGGGATGCATTTCCCCATGAAACCGCAGCTGAGAAATTCCCTTACCTGCAGTTTGGCACAAGCCATCCACAGGAAGCAACTTCCCCAGCCATACCCAAACACCTCTGGGGATACATTTTTGAAGCAAACCGGGGAGGTATGCAGAAGTCCTGTGAAGAAGTATTGTTTTCTATAGGATAGGGCCCTCTGGCTAGGGTGGGTCAGACAATAGCCGATCTTGGTCTTCTGTTGTTGACACTGCTTCACATATTACAACAGGGAAGGCAATTTCCTGGTAGGAATTTATCAGAAACCTGCATGCAAATTCTAACATATGCACAGATGTTTCATTTAGTTCTATGATGGAGCCACATTTGGAACACTGTGTACAGTTCTGGTCACTGTATCTCCAAAAGGACATTGCAGAGCTGGAAAAAGTACAGAAGAGGGCAACAAAGATAATTAGGGGATCGGAGCACCTTCCCTATGGGCAAAGGTTGAAGAGTCTGGGAGTTTTCAATCTAGAAGAGATTACTAAGGGAGGACAGGAGAGAGGTTTATAAAATTATGCACAGGGTGGAGAGAGTGGACAAAGAGAACTTGCTCTTCCTCTCCCAAAATACTAGAACCTGAGGGCATCCAATGAAGCCGATGGGCAGTAGGTTCAGGATGGACCGAAGGAAATACTACTTTACAGAGAAAGTGATTAAAATGTGAAATTTGCTGCCCGAGGATGCAGTGATGGCCACAGGCATAAGCAGCTTTAAAAGGCAATTAGATTCATGGAGGATAGGTCTATCAGTGGCTAGTAGCCATGGTGACTAAAGGGAGCCTCCATATTTAGAGGCAGTCAGGTTCTGAATCCCAGAGCCAGGAGGCAGCATCAGGGGAAGGCCTCGGCCTCTATGCCCCGTTGTTGGCCCTCCAGAGGAACTGGTTGGCCACTGTGTGAGACAGGATGCTGGACTAGAAGGACCCCAGGTCTGATTCTGCAGGGCGCTTCTTATGTTCTCATTTGGTATATACTTGCTGGAAACTGCAATTTGCAGCGTATCTCATATAAGGAGGCTCGTGAAATACACTTTTCAGGAAAGGAGGATTCGTCTGTAGTTCTGATGACTCGACCGGTGCCTGATATAGGTTTATGTCCCTTTTTTATTTATAACCTGCTTTTCTCCCTGATAGGGAACCCAAAGTGGCTTTTCCAAATCTTCCCCCCCTCCTCCACAATCCCCACAACAGCCTTGTGAGGGAGGGTAAGTTAGCATGAGAGGTTGTGATAGGCCCAAGGTCACCTGGCAGGTTTCCATGGCTGAGCGAGCGATTCAACCCAGTTGTCCCAGATTCTAGCCTGCACTCTAGCTACTGCACACACCAAAATACAGGGGTGACCAACTTCAGGCTGAGATATTCCTGGAGGTTTGGAGGGGGGGAGTGTGCGGTTTGGGGACGGGGGCGAATCTCAGCAGGGTATAAGGCCATAGTATCCACCCTCCAAAGCAGCTGTTTTCTCTTGGGGAATTAGTGTCTGGAGATCAGCTGTGGTTCTGAGAGAGCTCCAGGACGCACCTGGAGGTTGGCAACCCTGTGCATGCAACAAACAAACTCGGCCCAAAGTCAGAAGAACTTGCCTTCTCCCAGCGGATGGCTAGGTGGTTCACTATACGTATCTTCTAGTTCATGACTCGCAGCTTTCTCAGGGCTAGATTTTCGGTTCCGTGGGGACAGCAAGGGCAAAGGTGATTCTGGGGTGGAGCTCCCATCTCTGGATAACACCCTTGGGGGCTTTGGCCTGCCCCTGCAGTAACAAAAAAAGGCAACAACAATAATGATACTTAGCATTTGTATAGCGCTTGCACATGTTTCATTTGTACAGCGCTTGCAAAAGCTTCACACATTGTGATCTTTACACCAACCCGGTAAGGTGGGCCAGTGATGATCTATCTGGCACATTTTTATCCTGCCCTTCCTTCAGGGAACTCAAGGCAACACACACGGCCTGCCCCCCCTGTCTTCACAACGGCCCTGTGAGGTAGGCTAGGCGGCGGCTCCTTCCTGGTGGAATGAGCTCCCGGAGGAGATCTGGGCCCTGCGGGACCTAGTGCAGTTCCGCAGGGCCTGCAAGACGGAGCTCTTCCACCAGGCCTTTGGGTAGGAGC